ATTTTTTTTTTTTTTTTTTTTTTTTTTTTTTTAAAAGAAATTAATACTACTAAAAAGAAATAAGAAATAAAAGGGATACGGCTGGGTTTTTTCCTCGTCACTCTTTTTTAGAACAACACCATATCAGCATTATGAACATAACTTATACTTCCCAGAAAATTTTTGTTCCAACAAATGTTTATTATATAGCTTGGTCCTCATGAAGATTTCCTCTCATGTGGTTCAAATTGATGAAAAACCACTTAAACAAATATCGAATTATGTGCACTATGCACACAATATCAGCCGAGAGAAGAGAGATGAATGATAATTTCAAGTTAAGGAAAAACAAGAAGAAGAAGATGATGATGATGCCAACACTAGTATATTAGAATATCGAAGAACAAAAATGGATACCCAACAAATTCCCAGTCTAATTTCAAAAACAAAGAGCAAGTAAAAGGTTTAAAATCAAAGAAATGTTTTTAGCAAAGCACTCAATCTGATCTCCAAAACAAAGAGCCAATCCCAAAAGCTACCACGATCTTCTACTCAGCAAGGCACCCAAAACAGAAAGCAAAAAGAACGGAGCCGTCACACGAAATTTTTTTATGACTTAGCAATGTCCTAACCTTCAGCCTTTTTCTTGATAATAGCATTGGTTCATATCACTTTATCTTTATTTATGCACTATGCTTAAAATGTTCATGTGAGAATTTCTGGCAGGCACACGAGTTATTATCTTGTTGTTTCAAGCCAGAGCTCCAGATCCAGGCGACTTCAATTCTTATTTTGTTTGTAGGCTACCATGCACCTTGATGCCTCACGCCTTGGAATTTTGGTGTATATTGTTGCTCTGCTAACTCACATTTTTGTTTTTGAGTTTTTTTTCTTTTTACATATTTGTTACCACTACAAACCCTGTTAAAATAAAAGTTCAAATGCCCTTTTGTGGTAGTGGGACAGGTTTAGAAGCATGGACTGTACTGTCGATAGAAAATTATCTCTTACCCGTTTAAAGAAGAGCTTGTATTTAATATAAATACATATATATATTTTTTTCTTTTTCTACTCAAGATAATTAGTTTTTTTTCTTTCACTTATGAAGTTAATGTCGTTATACAACTATTCAGTTCATTTCCTTCAAAAACTTAAATGGCCGTTGTTCTTTTGTTAGAAAAACTAATGCATTTATGTATTCTTTCCTCATCTTCTGTGTTTTCAAAAATGTTGAGATTTTTCAGTGTTTTTCTAATTAGATACTATCAACTCATATTTTCTTATGGCCCATTTGGTTCATAAGAAGATCTGTTTGATTCATAGTTAGTGATTTTAATTCTCAATTTAAATTTCGTGAAAGAATTAATTAGTCGGGAAAGAACTAATGGTGGGAACTTTTTTTATTTTTTGGATATGAGCAAAAGATAACTTTCCCAAGAAAAGTTATTATTCTCGAATGCAAGAGACATTGTAGGAAAAATTACAGTGACATTCTCCGACTCGTGTTAATATTACGATGACACAATGATACCCTTTCTGATTAGCCCTGTTAATTACTAGCGAATTGACAATTTTCATAACAATCTCGATCTTCGAGATTTTCAATGGGAATCGATCACTATAAAATAACGTAAAATATTGGCCATTGATCCATAGTAAGACATCTTTAGATTATGCCACGTGAATAAGCTAAAAATACTACTTAAAAAAAAATCAAGTTCAAAGTTATTAAAAGCCTCAATGTAATAAATTAAAAGGAGAAAGAGAAAAATAGGTCTTGAGACAAATTAAAAATTATAGATCAATAGTTTACATAAATTAATAAATAGATTAAATTATTATTTTTATTCATAACTTGTCTGGTTATGAACCATAACTTGACAAATTATTGTCCATAATTCACGATTTTTATCCATAACTTATATGATTATGAACTATAACTTATAAATTTGTTCATAACTTATCTGATTATGAACCATAACTTAACAAGTTATAGTCTATTAATTTCTATAACTAAAAATTAACCTATATACTTTCTTAAGCTTTTCATATTGACATATTTTCTACTATTTTCGTAAATTAAAAACCTATACTCCTTTGAAAAAACCAAAAATCGAAAACCCAAATCAGCCATCTACATGCTCCACCCCTGCTCACCGACCCCGGACGATGCCGTTAGAAGTATGTCCTTTTTTTTATTATTTATTTTTTTATGGTTGTATGCATCAAGGATCTTATTGCAAGGAAAAAAAAAGATCTTATTTCAACGGGAACCAATAAATTAAATTAGAATACAGAGAAAAAGCATCACTATTTTGCTTTTTAATTAGATAAGAACTATATTCACCTAATAAAAATATTGAAATCCTTTAATTCACCTCAAATATTACATTACAGTGAAATCTTAACATCCTTCTTAAAATACTACATAGATAGGATTTTGCTCTTGATTTAAAAAAGGGAGGTCTTCTGTTCTTATCACAATAGAATTAACCAAATGTAGCACCAACCAAATTTGAAAAATAATCTAATTTGATTGAATAATGTTTTCGAACGCACCTTTCATACTACGGTATAAAAGATGATAGCTTTCAATGAACTCGTGCACAGATTCTCAAAATTTGATACTAGTTGGCAAAGAGTATTATTGCTCTTTCCACGATTGGCAAAAGCAAGATGATCAAAATTCCAAAAATTTCAAATATCAAAGGCACCAAATCAAATGTTACATGAAAGCAACTTTTTGCACCTGCGTTCAAGCGAAAACATTAAAAGTAAAAATTGAAATGTCCTGGATTATTGTGGCCTGATTTTGAAAATTCTTTACCAATAATAAGTCAAAACTTCCCACCTTATTAATTTTTTTTTTTCTTTTAAATTCTTGCTAGAGCAATAAAGTTCCTTTATTCAAAAATAGTTGGGGTCAGCTCTAAAACTGGCCACCCGTCCCACCAGCAATTATTAAATCTTGGGGACGAATTGGAATGGTGCCGAGCTCTCCGAACCCCACGCCAATTCAGTGTTTCGATTTGATCAAATTCCTGATGACGTACGGCAGAATGCCTCCGTGATCAAAGTAAGCAAGTTCAACCTGCATCAGAGTATTCAGAAGTCAGTTGTAAGAACACGAAACACAAACAGCTGGATCTTGACAACACTACGAAGAAATATGCGAGGAATGATTAGATTCAGTCACATTACCTCTGTATCGAAACGTAATGTACATGTGAATGACTTGCCATCATCTGTCACCATTGTGACATCTTGACCAGGTTTAATTTCACTCACGCTGCTCGGAAGATCAATGGTGTATCGTTCATGGCCAGTTAATCCAAGAGTTTCCGCATCCTCACCGGGCTTAAAACACAAGGGAATAACGCCCATGCCCACCAAATTGCTTCGGTGAATCCTCTCAAAGCTCTTTGCTATGACAGCTTTCACACCCTGAGACAGAAAAAAATCGAATAATAAGGATTATCTCATTGCAAAAGGCATACGAACATTATACATAACTGGAAGATAGAAGCTGTCGAATATTATGGTACCAGTAGCATAGGACCCTTAGCAGCCCAATCACGAGAACTTCCACTTCCATACTCCGCACCAGCCAAAATAATTGTATCATGTCCTTCACTCTTGTACCTCTGCAGTAACCAAACATAAAGCTTAAGACAGTCGATGCTTATGCAATCTACCTATACAAAATAACCCATCAAATAAAACCCTATTTGATAGACCATGCAAGGTCTTAATTGATGATCCAGAGGATGGGACACTTTATCATGTCGCCTGATAGACACAAGATAAATGATCCATCACTTATATCCCTATTTTTATTCTTGAAAAACCTTGTCATATAAAACTACAGGTAACTATTGATGAACCTAAATGCAAATTAAGTCATTTCACAAGCATTAGGTTAAAGCATACAACCCAAAGCATTCTCGTAGAAGGAATTTAAAGTAATTTGGGCCCAACTTTTCATTTACGCATCAGCACGCTACTATGTATGAACTGAAATATGAGGAAGTTACCATTGCAGTATCAAACACGGACAGTTTCTCCCCAGTGGGAATGTGGATTGTCTTAGGACCAACTTCTCCTTTCAATAGCTTGTTGACCAGACGAATGTTTGCAAAAGTGCCCCTTGCCATGACCTCATCATTACCACGTCGACTTCCATAAGAGTTGAAGTCTCTTCTATCAACCCCACGTTCAATAAGGTATTTGGCTGTAGGACTGTCCTTGTGGATGCTACCAGCGGGAGAGATGTGATCAGTTGTAATACTGTCTCCAAAGTTGAGTAAGCAGTAAGCATCCTTCACTCCATGTGGTCCAGGCGGAGACATAGTCATGTCCTTGAAATAGGGTGGTTCATGGATATAGGTTGATTTGGGGTCCCAGGCATAAAGGGTGCCAGAAGGTACAGATAATTGATTCCACATAGAGTTTCCTTGGGTAATTGCTTCATATGTAGCCTTAAACATATCGGGGAGTACGCTGGATTGCACAACCTAGAAGAAATTGCAAAAAAGCAACGTGATGAATTTCTAATCAATAAAGCATAACCACTACAGATAATCATCCAATAATTATTTATGCAGTCTCACCTCTGCTACTTCTTCGTTGGATGGCCAAATGTCCTTGAAAAATACCTCCTTTCCATCTTTCCCCAACCCAATGGGCTCTGTTTCAAAATCAATATCCACCTGCAGCGTTGCCCAAAAAGAAATACATGCATAGGAATAACATCAGATAAGCATTGCGACGATATATAAGACATTGATCCGTTGATGTGCGTGTAAACTCTAAGCTGCCTACCGTGCCAGCAAGAGCATAGGCAACCACGAGAGGAGGAGATGCAAGGTAATTAGCCCTAGTAAGAGGATGCACACGACCCTCAAAATTCCTGTTTCCAGACAGTACAGCTGCAGCTACTATATCTGTAAATTTAGATGAAATCCACAGCTTGATCACTTTCAAAAATGCAACAAGGAGCATCTAAATAACCACTAATTATCAAAAGATACATAGCATGTACCATTTTCAGTGATAGCTGATCCCACTGCTTCATCAATATCTCCAGAATTCCCAATGCATGTAGTGCATCCATATCCAACAATATAGAATCCTAGATGATTCAAATACTTCTGCAGTCCACTGCTCAAAACAATGCGCATTTCAATTAAACTGAAAAAGATATGTAAGTGCCCTCCAAAAAAAAATGTAAGTCTTAGTATGGTATTTTTAGATTGAAAATACCTTTTCAGCAAGTATTTGGTTACAACACCAGAACCTGGAGCAAGACTCGTCTTAATCCATGGCTTAACCTGAAAAATTATAGCAAATCATGAGTTCCAAATAGCTCATATAAGAATGCTCATAAAATTATCCATAATTCTGAGACTAATAAGCAGACATAGTCTTTAGACTTTAATCTCGTAGAATCTAGCATTTTTATTATTTATTTATTTATTTATTTTTTACTCTCTTTGAAGATGAACTTTATGGTCAAGCATGAAACTAAAGCCAAAAGTAGAGATGCCTAACCTCCAATCCTAGTTTACAGGCTTTCTTTGCAACTAAAGCAGCTCCAAGCATCACACTAGGATTTGAGGTATTTGTGCAACTTGTAATAGCTGCAATGACAACATCTCCATGCCTAAGTTGTGCTGGGGTCCCGTGAAATGTAAACTCTACAACCTTACTCTGGGACTCTTTTGCTACAGCAAAACCCTGCGATAGCACGCAAGAAAAATAAGCACAACAAGAAGAGGCAAGCAATTTACGCCATTATACCAGATACACAGTGTGGAATACGCTATAGACTAAATACAGCATTCAGACTTGGATTTCTAAAACAATTGTAAGATTTGAAAAAAAAAAAAAAGAAGGTGACAACTGACATGTATGTACGCCTATAATACTGCACCTAAAATGAAGCCAACATTAGGTAAGATCTGAAGTCTTTTCCTAGGCAGTAATCTGACGCAGTGATTACAAACCTTACTAATGAGACATTTTGGTTCTCAAGCATTATCAACAATCAGCTGCAATTTTGTTAGTCTGTATAATTTGAAAAGAAATTCTGACCTTGAATCCAACTCTATTATCAAGGCATGCATGCCAATCTGCTTTCATTTCCTTCAAAGGAACACGATCATGTGGTCTGCAAAAAGTAACCTCCCGGGAGTGACCTTGTGAAAGATTGAAATTTTATATTCTATGTTTAACCGAGTGCTATCAGAAAAATATATCAACAAAACCTACCTCTTTGGACCTGACACACAAGGTTCCACATCCTCAAGATTTAACTCTAGATAAGAGGAATACACTCTCTCAACCTGGGGCTGAGTTCAGGAAGCAACACTTTGTCAGAAACCATATTGTAAAACAAGTTTAACGGCAATGCAATTTTTTACATAATGTTGTTTAAATGACTTACCTCGCTATAGTCCACAAACATCTTATTAGCCCGTAAATATGACTCTATCATAGAAATCTACAAAAATACAATTCATCAGCATGTGAAGAAAGTAAAATACTTATCCCTTTTTTTTTTTTGAAAAATCACATACAGTATCATCACTTCTGCCAGTCAGCTTCAGATATTGCAGAGTAACATGATCCACAGGAAAGAAGCCCATAGTTGCACCATACTCTGGGGACATGTTAGCAATAGTGGCACGGTCTGCCAAAGACAATTCACTCATTCCTTCGCCTGCAAACAGGAACATATGGGGAAAATCACTGGGATGAAATACCTAGAGAAGTTGCAGCTGCAAGAAACTAACCATTAACTATACTAGAAAAACATTTATTGGGTATTTAGCTTTACCATAGAACTCCACAAACTTGCCAACAACCCCATGCTTCCTCAGCATTTGAGTTACTGTCAAAACCAAGTCGGTAGCTGTCACACCATTTCTCAACTTTCCTGATAATTTGAATCCAACCACACCAGGCAAGACCATGCTCATGGGCTGTGTCCAAACGAAATGAACAGGTTAGAATGTCCAGATAAACTGGTGCAGAAGCAAGTGAAATAAAGCAGAATCAAAGAAACACGACAACAAAATGAAAAGGAAAAAGAGGATGCAGACGTTTATATACACCATCTAAATGACAGAAATACAAGAACGATATACAAATCACAATTGAAACAAGTAACGCAATGGTGGAAATTAAACAATCAGTTACCTGTCCAAGCATTGCAGCTTCTGCTTCGATACCACCAACTCCCCAACCAGCAACACCCAGTCCGTCAATCATAGTCGTGTGGGAATCTGTTCCAACGACACTGTCAGGGTAAAGCAGGCCACCTCTGTTGAACACAACTCTGCCAAGGTATTCTAAGTTAACCTGTAAATGGTCATTATAGCATCAATTGTTTCCACGCTGGTGCACAAGGATGGCCAAAAGAAAATAAAGAAAACCAGACAAATTATAAATCCACAAATCATAGTGAGGCAATATACGTGATCAGATCAAAGAACAAAATTGCTTCTGAAGTGAAGCAATTACCTGATGGACAATCCCTGATCCAGGAGGAACAACAAGCATGTTATCAAATGCATTCGATCCCCATTTGAGGAAACCAAATCGCTCTTTGTTTCGTCGGAACTCAAGTTCCATATTGGCTTGCACTGCGTTCTCTGATCTTGCCACATCCACCTGGACAGAGTGATCAATGACAAGATCTACCGGAACCTGCATTAGGAAATAACAACATAAGCATAAAATCCCCATATATCTTCATCAAATTAGCTAAGGTGTGTCTGAGAGAACTTGGTCAGACAAATAAACATCAAGCAATTGCCCATTTCATTCCACAAATGAACACATAGATTAAGCTCACCAATGGGTTGATCTTGTTCGAATCACCGCCTAGTCTGTTCATAGCATCCCTCATGCAAGCAAGATCAACAACAGCAGGTACACCAGTGAAATCCTAAGAAACATTTATCAGCACATTAAGAACCCACTGAAACATAAAGTGGCGTTTGGTTCATGGGTTCAAAATCATGGTTCATGATTCTGTTTTTTGAAATTCAAATTTTTTGTGAGAAAAAAACACTGTAGCAGAACTACGATCCATGATCCTAAACCAGGCAGAACTCTTGAAACAAACGTCACCTAAAATATAGAGAATCACATGTACCTATTTACAACTAGATTTACCTGAAGAAGCACCCTAGCAGGTTTGAATGGGATCTCAACCTGTTTGGGACTGGTGTTCTCCCAATCAATAATCTTTTCAACATCCTTACTCTTGACTTGAAACTCATCACAGTTGCGAATGGCTGATTCAAGAAGAATCCTAATCGAGTATGGTAGTTTCTCTACAACGCAAACATCAATCTCAATTACAAACAATATACGAGGAAAAAGATTGTAATATTCTATTCGATAACTACAAGAAGGTTGATTCGGTTAAGAATTAAGATGCTTCATTTGGCCACAGAATAACAGGCACACAAACACAGAAAAAGTATACTATTTCCAGAACTTTCTTATCATTTCGTACAGTTTCTCACTAAACAAACAGAAACATCAATCTCAATCACAGACGATGTACCGGAAAAAATCAGGTACAATTTAGTTCAATAGTTGGAAGAATGATCCGATCAAGATGCTGCATTTGGCCAAAGAATAACAGACGCACACACAGGAGTACACTATTGCCTAAACTTTCTTGACATTTCCTAGAGTTTCTCGCCAAGCAAACAAAAGTTACAGATTCAAGAAGAATCCTGATCGGCTAGTGTATCTGCAACACAAACATCAATATCAATGACAAACGAAAGGCCAAACCGAAACCAAAAAGTAAAATCTTTTGAAGTAAAATTCCGTTCGATGACTAAAACAAGATTACAAAATCGATCAGGATGCTCCATTTCGCCACAGAATAACAGACAGACGTAAAAACACACCAATTACAAAACTTTCTCAGCCATTTTCACACTGTTTCTGATCAAACAAACAGAATTGTACCGATTCTAGGATCGTTGAGAGCTGGCAAGCTATAGTACTTCCCGAATTCGCCACCGTCGGGCTTCTCAAGCGTCTTCAAAATGCTCTTGAACGGGTTTTCACCAGCTGCAATCAAACGAAACCATCAGAAAACCACAAAAATTCAATCAAATCGAAATAAAATCGAACAAAAACTGAATCAATCGTTAGAGTACCCATAGCAAATGGTTATCCGAGTTCAGACAAAGATTTGTGCTTCAGAGAGCGAGATCGAGAGAGAATTAGAGTAGGTAGGGTTTTGGGGAGTGCTTAAATACAGATTTAGAGAGAGAGAGAGAGAGAGATGATGAAGGTCCGGTTGAAGAGGTGGGAGTGACGTGTCAGTTTCTTCTTCTTTTTTTTCTCTTTTTTTTTTTTTTTTTTTTTGGGTTTTTGAAATG